CAAGTGGTACNTTTCAATTTGAGGTAATATTGCATGCACATATTTACTTAAAAAATTTATTGGGTCAATTATATTTTCATTTCTATTATGACAATAGACAGGGGAAGGGGACAAGAGTACATTTCTCTCTCTCTCTCTCTCTCTATAAATTGATATAATGAATAACATATTGCACTCTGCATTGACTGGGAGCTCAAGTGGTACTTTTTTTTTATTAGAAGCACCGCCCTCAAATTGGACGTTCTCGCAATTCTTTGTACGAGTGCTTATTAAAGGGCAAGACCAATTGAATGGTCAAGTCTCAAACCATCCAACACCATTGAATAGTACTCCCAACCAAAGCCAAGTCGTTGATTATGACTGGGAGCATATGATTTTTCTTTTGCCTTTTTTCTATCACGACTATATATTTAGGATTTATATTCATTAAACGTACGTCTCAAAAGTTTTGCTTACCGGCCCATTTGTCATGTACACATACATAAGAATGTCACAAAAGAAAAGGCCTTCATGAAGATCATGATATCTATCACCCAAATGTGATCACAAAACTATGAACCATCACAATCTTAGATGCGTGTCTTAAGAGCAAGACTGATAANAAGAAAAGGCCTTCATGAAGATCATGATATCTATCACCCAAATGTGATCACAAAACTGTGAACCATCACAATCTTAGATGCGTGTCTTAAGAGCAAGACTGATACGAAGGGTCAACATAAGGAAACCACCTCTCAAATGCCTTCCTTTTCTTTAACCACTCCCATCCATATCAACCTTTTATTTTCTTTCCAAACTTTCCAAATTCATCTCAGCGTATAGTGTGAAACTTTGCATCCTCCAAGTCAAGATTGAATTGTAGNTTTAACCACTCCCATCCATATCAACCTTTTATTTTCTTTCCAAACTTTCCAAATTCAACTCAGCGTATAGTGTGAAACTTTGCATCCTCCAAGTCAAGATTGAATTGTAGAAAGAAAGAGCAATAACCCAATTCAACTCCATATTACTCAGACGATGGATGCTTCATTAATTTCACAACTAGCAACTTCCATCTTCGACACCACTTTTTTCCATAGAATTCTTGTTATTTTTCAATGGAGATACTTATAAGCTTAAACGGTAATAGGACTGCAACTTTATACTCAAGCCATTAGTTCATCATCCTTCACCCGCCTATTTCTGCTACTGAAAACTTGCATCATACAATAAAACAAAAATGGATTACTGGGGACTGCTTGTCTTCCTTTCTCAGATCATTGCAACCTTCGTTGGCCTAACCAATTCGCAGCCTGATTTGCGATACCACTTCTGTACTGGAGATAATGATACTACGAGCATGTATGAGGTAAATAAGAACACCCTCCTCCACTCCCTCTCCTCCAATATGGATATATATGGCTTTTACAATTCCTCTCTTGGCCAAAACTTCGATAGAGTTAACGCATATGCACTTTGTCGAGGTGATGTCAAGCTTGATATATGTCGCAGTTGTGTCACCAACTCTACTCTTAAGCTCATGCAACTTTGTCCAAACTACAAGGGGGCAATTGGATGGTATGATCTTTGTACGTTAAGGTACTCAAATCAAAGTCTATTCGGCATAGTGGAAGGTGGCCTGAGCATGACTGCATATATTTATTCCGGTGGGGTTTCAGACGTGATTCAGTTCAATTCAGTACTAAGGACATTGTTGGACAGTCTACGGAGCCAAGCAGCATCAGGTGGTCATCTACGTAAGTTTGCTACAGGGAACATGAAGGGCCCTCACTTTCTAACGATATATGGGCTTTTACAATGCACTCCTGATTTATCTGACTTGCTTTGTAACGATTGCCTGGATGGGGCTGCTGGAGAAATACCAAGATGTTGCAATGGAACAACAGAACTGTGGATTCTAAAACCTAGTTGTGCTCTTAGGTATGATATCAAGCGTTTCTATGATGAAACACCAGCTAGTGCACCACCGCCGTTGCAGTTGCCATCGCCACCACCACCATCAGCTTCTCCAGGTTTGGATTTGATTGGTATTGTTTTCACATTGAATTGTTGAAGGATACATATACATCTAAAGGGATGTCTGTTCTATTCCTTTTTTTTTTTAGAGAAATATATATCATTATGTCGCTCTCTTTCAAAAAAAATGTAGAGATAAAGATTAGATGGATTCTATCCCACTCTATAAAACTAGTTGGGGGAGGGAGGGAGGGAGGGAGGTAAGGCTTCATAGCAACTTTCATTCTAAAGGAAAACGAAGACCCAACCTTTAGTCAATAGGAGCCCTACTTCCCTCTTTGTGATCCCATCACTTTAATTAAAGTGCAAACCCATTTTTTAGTCACCAGTGTGAAGATTGTTATCATATTGGGGCAAGATTATGTTACTGTCTTTGGTATAATATCAAGATTAATAAGAAAATAGGGGTTACTACATATTTGGAGTTAATACGACTAAACATACCAGTGACGAGTTTTACGACTTTCTGATTTAAAGTTACAATTCATAAAATAGGAATTTATCTTAAAATGATATGATCTATCTTAATTATTCACCAAAAAAAAACTATAGTTTTTTGGACTTAGACTATGGTACCACCAAAAAAAATTTCGGTACCATACTTCCAAAATTTATTTTCATAGTTTTTGTGAATGATTTATCACTTTTGTATATGTTTTTATTATTGTTGTGGTAGTTATTTTTATCACTTTTCCTTAGTAAAAAAAAATCAGTAATGTTAGACTAACCAAATTTTAGGACCAAATTTAGAGCTCAAATGACATGGCGGCCGACTTGAGCATTTTTATTTGGTGTCATGTCATTTGGGCCCCAAGTCATTTGGGATGGATATTTGGTCAATAAATTTGGTCGGTATAATATTACTCAAAAAAATTATTGCTTTTGTCAGACTTTTTATTACTGTTGTAGTAACTATTTTTATCACTTTTTTGGATATCACAATAATGGTAAAAATAATTGCAACAATGATAAAAATATTCAAAAATATGATAAATTTGGTATGATACCGAAATTTTATTTTTTGGTGCCGTAGTTAAGTCCTAATTTTTATCCTCGGGACAAGTACTTATCCCACAAACAAATATAGTCAAATTTAACATATTTTTTGCATTACGTAACCTGCCCTTAAACCAAATTTTGATTTTATTTCCCTCTTAAACTTGACATCTTTCGAACATACAAAACAAAACAAAAAAATTTTGACAAAATATGTAAAACTAGATAAATAGAACTGTTGGGAATTGTATACATATGCCGAAGTGTAAGTTCAAATACATACTTTAATTCATTTTGATCCCAAAACCTTTGAAAAATGTTTTACGTACTTTAGAATTTGAAAAAACCATCTTTACTTTGTTTGCTCGAGCGATATAATGTTGTTACGCAACATGAATCAATACTAGATTTTTTGCAACACAAAAGTCTTTTTAACGTTACGTAGGGGGAGAGAATCTAATGTTAATTTTTTTTTATGATATCCATTGGTTGTTTTAGAGTTTATATAGGCAACTAATAGAGATGCCTTGGAGAAGAATATTACTGTTAGTGGTTGAACAGATACATCCCTTGGGTGTAAAGGACTTCTCCAAGAGTTATGCCCCTTGGGGATTCTCTAATTGGATTGACCTATCAAGGTCGCCCCGGTTCGGCCATGACCCAAACCCAATAGCTAACGTCTCCCAATCGCTCATGGTAGGTATGACATTGTTATTTCTTTCAATCTATTATATACATCAACGTCAATTTATACAGGCTAATGGGTAGTGCGACCGTTGAATATAATTACAATTTAGGAGTTTTACACTAGAAACTCAACAGAGCCAGTATAGAGACATCAACCTTAAAAAAATGAAAATAATGTATCAAGTACTTTAGATCCATTCAGATACACCGGTTCAAACATTTCTAATCTCTCACAATAAAAGAGCATGTTTAACCCCTCAAAGCAATTCGTCTATATATTCACACGTTTTCACTATTTAAAATAGTGTCCAAAATTGTCGACAGTGAATATATCGCGGGATATTCTAAGTGGTCTTCCTTTCGCCCTCATGTCACTTAATTCAAAATTAACCACTTTCCCATCAATGTCCCCAAACCGAAACTCGCAACTCCTCATAGGGAATTCGTCCTTGCTAGCACTCATTTGTTTTTGAAAACATTTGCCTTATTAGATGGTTGCATAACAGTATTACTTGTGCCTGGGTCATTTTGGTTATACTTAATACATCTATTTTATTCATTTGGGGCATATGTACAATTTGTCACCATGGGATAAAGCATTCCTAAATTTCCGACTCACTTATATAATGGAATCGAAACATATTGTTGTTCTTTTTTGCAGGCAAGGGTGATAGCACGAGTCGAACTGGCATCATTATTGTCATTCCAATCACCGTCTCGCTAATTCTTATTATATCTATTTCAATCTATCTTAGAAAGAGAAAGCATATGAATTCCAAGTACAAAATTGACGAAAGTAAGTTCAAAATGATTTTTGACCATATTTTACATTAACACCATAATCAATTTCTAACTCAACAATTGTGTCCATTATAAGGTAGGATCGTTGTTGCATTCTGGTTTAAAGTGTTGGCATGATAGCTTAAGAGAATGGTGGGGTCAAAGGTTCAAATATCAATCATTGAGATTTGAAAACTATTTCCTGCAATAAAAAAATGTTATGTGGTAGTTGAGATGTAATGCATAACTATATCTTTGTGTTCCTCTTACTTCAAAATTTGTGGTTTATTTCTCATGAAGCCATGGACGAAGACAACAATGTACAATTTTTGCAGTACGACTTTGGTACTATGAGAGTTGCTACAAGTAACTTCTCTGATAGTAATATGCTTGGAAAAGGCGGATTTGGGAATGTTTACAAGGTAAAAAAAAATTGAAAATCTTTCAAGTTGTGTCCCATCAAACAATTTGCATCCCTTAAGAGATATAATTAAATTAACATTGGTGTTGATTTTTTGCAGGGTAGGCTTTCAAATGGGCAAGAAATAGCTGTGAAGAGGCTATCCATGAATTCCAAACAAGGTGACCTGGAATTTAAGAATGAAGTCTTGTTGATGGCGAAGCTTCAACACAAGAATTTGGTTAGGCTCTTAGGCTTCTGCCTTGAAGGGACTGAAAAACTTCTCATATATGAGTTCTTACCCAACGCAAGTCTTGATCATTTCATATTTGGTACGATATCTCTGTTGCTTCAACATAGTGCTTATCTTTATCGACTCGATTCAGAATTGCAAGCATAAAACATCCAGGCTTCAAGCTTTTATGTTAACATCAAGCACAAAAATGAAATACATGTGATACCACTGTTATCTAAAAGAATTGATATTTAGTAGAGCTATAATTAATCCTTATGCTTGGTCGAATATGCAGATCCAATCAAACGAGCATATTTGGATTGGGATGTGCGCTACAAAATCATAAGAGGCATCGCTAGGGGACTTCTCTATCTTCATGTAGATTCTAGACTTCGGATCATTCATCGGGATCTCAAAGCCAGCAATATTTTATTAGATGAAGAGATGAACCCAAAAATTGCAGATTTTGGGATGGCAAGACTTTTTCCACTTGATGAGAGTCAAGGAATTACGAGGAGGATTGCTGGAACCCGGTGAGTATTAACTCAAATAATCAAGTATCAAACAAGTCTCTAACCGTCATTTGTTTCATTTGGATGTGTACATTACAAAAATTACAAAATTCTTACCATGTATCTTAAGTAAGTAACAAATGGAAAAAATATTTGTTTGAGTACAATCTTGGATATGCAAAGTAATTGTTTGGGAACCTCTAGGAAAAAAAAATTGAGGTATAGACATGGTCTTCAATTTTAAAACTAATAAAAAGTGTTAAAACTTAAAATTTGCAGTGGTTACATGGCACCGGAGTATGCAAGACACGGCCAATTTTCAGTTAAGTCGGATGTATTTTGCTTTGGAGTATTAGTTCTAGAAATTTTAAGTGGTCGGAAGAAAAACAATTTTGAACATGAGAGGAATGGAAAGGACCTTCTAAGCTATGTAAGTATGAATAAGGATGAGAATTACAATTGCCATTAAATATAAAACAATAGCTTTTAACTACACTTATTGAATGTTCACAGGCTTGGAAACATTGGAGGGAAGGAACAGCTTCAAATTTGGTAGATCCCTTAATGAGGGCTCGGCCAAGTGCAATACATGATACAATGAGATGCATACATATTGGGTTGCTATGCGTTCAAGAAAATGTAGTAGAGAGACCAACCATGGCTTCGGTTGTTCTTATGCTTAATAGCTTCTCGCTATCTCTCCAAGTACCTTCAAAGCCAGCATTTTTTATGCAGAGTACCATTGATGTAGGAATGCCATTGCTTCGAGAGCATGATTCAGGGGTGACCCAAAGTAGTCAATTGAAAAATGAGTCTGGTTTTGCGTCAGTTAATGATATTTCAATTACTGAGTTATATCCCCGCTAATATATTAGATTCCTGATGACAGTGACAAAAATATTGACACTTTTTTTGGTTCAAATTAGAAGAGGACTCACCATGTGTGTGAAAATGCTTGTTTTTTTTAAAAAAAATATTCTGATGTGTTCTATTGTTGTACGTTTGTGTTGCTTTCTCAAAATATTATGTTTTTAAGTATTGTGGTATAATTAATTTCACATTGGTTGTAGATGGTGCGATATGAGTTTAGTGTGCTAATATTGGGTAACTATTTCAACATGGCTATGGTTTATGATGATTAACAAGAGTGCATGTAGAGTTGTTTATAATGGACTTACTTGAGGTGCAACTCATTTGAGATGGGTTCTTTGGGATTTAATTTGGGCAGCATACTATTTATGTTAAAGATTGTTTGATGCAAGTTCCCAAAGCATGTTTTGATCACATAAATGGTTACAATACAATTAGATTGGATTTACTAACTCAATAAGATTGTAAGGTAGGTTTTTAGTCATTTGTAAGCAAAACCAATGTTTGAATAAGACGTCATTTCTTAGAAAATCAAATCATTACGACACATGAGTTTTATCGGGGGCTACGAAATCCACTACTTAATCCAACCATGTAAACAACCTGCAAAATTGTTTTCAATCACAATCGCGAATCATGAGAGAGTGACTTGTGTGACGTATCTATATTTAAAAAACAAAGGACTATTAGCTATTGGTTGGTCCTTTAGTACTCAAATCTGTACAGAGTGAATAATTTAACGCACTAAAATTTAATTTAATGGATGTTGATGGGCCAAGTCTAAGGGTCTAACTCATGTTATAAGTCCAGTTCAAGTTTATAGTTCAATTCCAAAGGATCCAGCAAACCCAGTCTAGCGTGGTCAACCCGGTCAAGCTCACTAGTGTGATCAACTCGGTCAAGTTCATCAACTCAAGGAGCTAAGGGAGCAAGCAAGGTCATCCAAAACCTTATCCTCGTCGCCTTGCAGATGGTCAACACCTAACCTCATCCTTTGACCGAATCTCATGGAGAGCACATAACTGTATTGCACATTGAGAAGAGCTCGTCAGATCCAACAGACTAGCCAACTACTTACTAATATCACGCCCAAATCTGTTGAGGGGCGACTATAAATTGTAAGCCCCACAAAAACTTGGGGGGCATCACACCCTCTTGAGCGCGACTCTCTCCTCTCCCTTTTAGCATGTAACTCTCTACTCTCCTGCACACTTGAGTTTATAAAATACCTGACAACCCAAGCCATTTAAAAGTGGACGTAGGTCATGTTGACCGAACCATTATAATTCTTGTCTTCTCTCTTTATTGATTAATTACTGCATTTATTACTGATATTTGACAGGTGGTGTGCAAAGCTAATTTATGCATCATCAGTTTGGCACCGTCTATGGGAACAACAAAAATTCTCACTTCTAAACACTTCATTTGTTGAACCAATGACGATCACTAGCAGATTCATGAATCAACCTAAAGACAATCCAGCACGAGAGCAGGAGGTAGCTCCTCCACCAACCAATCCTGTCCCAAAATGCTTCTGTCCCAATTATGCAGTAGATGTTGGAGACTATGCAGCAGTTTGTGGCCCAAAAATAACAGATCCTACAACTCATGTTCGCTGGACAAGGAGGAGCACAGACTGGAGGACCTCAAGTTAGAGGAGCTCCATGCCCTGGACATCAAGAAACTCCACACTTAGTTGCTCCTAATCTGGGCCCCCCCCTTTGGAGTTCCTTTGGGTGCCCCACCTTTGGGAGTCCTTTTAGGCGCCCCACACAGGGGGGCCCACAATGAAGGACCTCTACCTCCCCCTACAGCCCCTATTTCCCATGGTGGAAACCCTCATTTTTAAGAGGATGAGGGTGAAAACCAAAGTATGAAAAATGTGAGTCATTTCCATGATAATTTNAGAGTTGTTTATAATGGACTTACTTGAGGTGCAACTCATTTGAGATGGGTTCTTTGGGATTTAATTTGGGCAGCATACTATTTATGTTAAAGATTGTTTGATGCAAGTTCCCAAAGCATGTTTTGATCACATAAATGGTTACAATACAATTAGATTGGATTTACTAACTCAATAAGATTGTAAGGTAGGTTTTTAGTCATTTGTAAGCAAAACCAATGTTTGAATAAGACGTCATTTCTTAGAAAATCAAATCATTACGACACATGAGTTTTATCGGGGGCTACGAAATCCACTACTTAATCCAACCATGTAAACAACCTGCAAAATTGTTTTCAATCACAATCGCGAATCATGAGAGAGTGACTTGTGTGACGTATCTATATTTAAAAAACAAAGGACTATTAGCTATTGGTTGGTCCTTTAGTACTCAAATCTGTACAGAGTGAATAATTTAATGCACTAAAATTTAATTTAATGGATGTTGATGGACCAAGTCTAAGGGCCTAACTCATGTTATAAGTCCAGTTCAAGTTTATAGTTCAATTCCAAAAGATCCAGCAAACCCAGTCTAGCGTGGTCAACCCGGTCAAGCTCACTAGTGTGATCAACTCAGTCAAGTTCATCAACTCAAGGAGCTAAGGGAGCAAGCAAGGTCATCCAAAACCTTATCCTCGCCGTCTTGCAGATGGTCAACACCCAACCTCATCCTTTGACCGAATCTCATGGAGAGCACATAACTGTCTTGCACATTGAGAAGAGCTCGCCAGATCCAACAGACTAGTCAACTACTTACTAATATCACANAGGAGCCCGATGAAAAAGTAACTATAACAGTTTTCTTGGGAGGTCTCTGCTCGTCAAGCTTCCTCTTTTCAATAATGAAGCGGCCACCNCTCGCTATCTCTCCAAGTACCTTCAAAGCCAGCATTTTTTATGCAGAGTACCATTGATGTAGGAATGCCATTGCTTCGAGAGCATGATTCAGGGGTGACCCAAAGTAGTCAATTGAAAAATGAGTCTGGTTCTGCGTCAGTTAATGATATTTCAATTACTGAGTTATATCCCCGCTAATATATTAGATTCTNGTGGCTACAAGCTTGGCCTCTACACTGTTCTCAAACAGACAGCCCATATTTCCAGCTTAACGGCTTTCTTGCGGGTTGCCAAAAGATTGGCCTCTGCATTGTTTTCAAATAGACAGCCTATACCTCAAGCATAAAGACTTTGTCATGGGTCGCCACAAAGCTCGGCCTCAAAAGGTGTAACTTTCTCATGAGCAGTCCTCAAACTCTGTCTTTACTCTCGCGCAAGCAGCCTACCTCTTTCTCTCTCTCTCTAGGTAATTATGTTATATATTTTAATGTTTGAAATAACATTTTTTTTGTCATCTCTAGTCAGACTCTTGAAACTCACGTCGTCTGCAATCTGAGGGACTACATTAAAATTGAATGTCAACAATTGGGCCTCATCTTTTTGTGTCCATCTCAATTAGACGACATAGTACAATATGGTAGGCAGAGACAATCCGTAAAATATCGGTGTCCATATTTAAATTGCTGGAGATAGTACTTACTTTAGACCTATCATCATCGAGAGCTACCTTACCTTGATGCTTTTTGGCGTGAGGACGTGAAACTTTGTTCAAGCCACTGCTAGGGAGGTCTTGAGGAATTTGATTTTGAGAAGTTACACTCAGAGGAGTCGGATCATCACCACCAAAAGTGTTCGACGTACTCTGCCTTTTGACTCCATAACCAAGGGGCGCAAGGCAACCCCAAGGCAGCCCCAGGCTCTCCCAAGGCAACCCCAGGCTTGCCCAAAACATCCCAAGGCATCCCCAGGTCGCCCAAGGCAGCCCCAAGCTCACCCAGAACACTGTCTATTTGCCCGCCCAGCTGCTTACTCAAAATTTTGACCGTAATTTTTGGTCAATTACTCCAAATATAGCCCATAATATATTAAATCGAAACTCTCGATGAGCCCTACAAGACTCATGGTCTTTGATTGTATTTGACACTATAAAAAGTCCAAAAAAACACCCAAAAATAAATTTTTTGGCGTCCCGAAGTTTTTTTTTAAAAAAAGTTTAGCTGCTGCTCGCCCAGGAGGCCCTCTGCTTGCCCAGGATACTCTCTGCTCACCCAGATTAGTGCCTGCTTGCCCAAACCGCTCGCTTAGCTCCCTACTCGCTATTTGACTGTAAATCTTGCTTCGTAACTCTAAACAGGAGCTTATTATATATCAAATTGAAGCTCTTGGCGAGCCCTACAAGACACAAATGCTGTTGAAAGTTCAAAAAATGCCTAGAAATAGAGGTTTTGGCCTTCCGAAGTTTTTTCAGTTGCGCTGGTCAGCCAAAAATTCAAACTTAATCGAATGCCCTCATATCCAAGTTCCTTTGGACACAAGGCATTAAGGGGTAAATGATGAGTCAAGCCCAAAGGTCCAACTCATGTTATAAGCCTAATTCAAGTTTATAGTCTCATTCCAAGAGATCCAACAAATTCAGTCTAGTGGAGTCAACCCGATCAAGCTCATCAGCTCAACCCGGTCAAGCTTATTAGTGTGATCAACCCCAGTCAAACTCATCTGCTCAATGAGCTAAGAGAGTAAGAAAGGTCATTCAAAATCTTATCCTCGCCGCCTTGGAGATGGTCAATACCACATTTCATCCTTTGACCAAATCTCATGGAGAGCACGTAACTGCCTTACACGTCGAGAAGAGTTCGCCAGTCCAACAAACTAGCCAACTACTTACTAATATCACTCCCAAATTTGTTGAAGGGGTGACTATAAATTGTAAGTCCCACCAACACTTGGGGGGCATCACACCCTGTTGAGCTCAACTCTCTCCTCTCCCTTTCAGCTTATAACTCTCTGCTCTCCTGCATACTTGAGTTAATAAAATACCCAACGACCCTAACCATTTAAAAGTGGACGTAGGTCACGTTGACCGAATCACTATAATTGGTATCTTCTCTCTTTACTGATTAATTACTGCATTTATTACTGATACTTGACAGGTGATGTGCAAAATTAATTTATGCATCATCACAAATCCAAATGTGTTGTATATGAAAAAGGTGAACTACTTTAAACTTAAGTAACAAATAAACAACAAAACAATCACGAATCACGTTCAACACAAATTGCTAAAAGAAATAAAGACTAGACTAACATTTAATAGATTATTCGATCCAAGTGTTCATGGATCCTTTTTGCGTATTTTTTCA